CTGCTGAACTCCACTTTATACCTTCTTCTGATTTTATAATGGGCCACCTAGAACAGCTCAGAAGCAGCTATTCAATTTCACAATAATCCACAGAATTTTTATCAAACTCAGGCTTTCAAGCACTTTTATAATAATGTCCTGTCAGACAGTGCTACAAATCCTAGTGTCAAAATCTACACTGTTTCTTTCATAGCCACAGGGACAGCAAATACCCTGTTGTAGGAGAAAACTAAATTAGGTAGACACAACTTGCTCTCGACAAACTCCTACTCACCTCCTCATTATATGCTGAGAGTTTACGAACAGTTTTTTACGGTTCCTGATTTTGTGGGCACAGGAGTCACCTCCTTCAAACTCCAGTCTTTCTCAGCTTGTGCTGTGTTTAACTGATAGCCAGGTGTATGGTGATACGAGATTCCCTCTTGGGGAAGTTTCTGCCTCCTAAGTCTGGAGAAAAAGGCAAGTTTGTTTGTGTAACAGTGAAGTAATTACTCCATCTCTGGAACATAAGCCTGTGAAACTCCTTCCATGTGTAACTGGCTCCTGATGCTGCAGCTGGTATGCATCGCAATCGAAGTCCATCCAGAACTTGAATATTGCTTTGTTTCTTCCTGGGTAAGTTCCCTGTTACTTTAACAACACAGTTCTTGAGACAGCTTGTCTCAGAGGCCTGGCTTCTCTACCTGACCATCTGTCTTGCATGGCTTCTACGAAATTATCTCTAAGGCTCTTGCCTCTGCCAGATGTGGTCAAAATAAGCCAGGAGCTCTGAAGTTATCAGAGAAAGGCAGTGGTACAATGATGTTCTCCTTGTCTCCATGGGAAAATATGTCAATAATCTCCAGATAGAGCAGGCTGAGTGACAATATAATACATGAGCCAATCCACCAGCTGTTTTTTGACATCTTGCCAACTACAGACATTAACTCCGAACGAGTATTATTCTTGAATTATAGCTACGCTTTCACACAACTGTTATTTCAAATCTGATCACACTGGCTGATGGGGATCTGCAAATGTCTCAAAGAAGGTCTTTTATGTGGAGGGAAAGGAACTGTGGTAAAAGGGAAGTAGGAGGGGAGGGGCAGATGCTAGGCTACAACACAGCCATTATCTCCCTCTCTAAGTCAGGTGCAGTCTTGGGTAACAAAGACTGAAGATTCACACTTTGTTCTCCCAGACATATTCACTCTGACCTAGTTTTCTGGATTTCCGGAAACACAAGCCACTCATTTTTAGCCATTTCTTGCTACTTGTCCCTGTTGATTCATGGGCTTTCAGTTTTCCAAGTATTTGCTCTACTTGCAAAAAATCTGTTTGCTCAGTAACGTAATCTCTATCTCATTAATTAATGGTCTTCTATCTAATGCAGTCTCCCTCCTCCTCTAAGAGTCAGAACTGCTGTTACCTGTGTGATGAGACATTGTCCTTACAGTACTTCAAGGCATTATACTGGCAGCTGCATTCTTCTCCACAAACACGATGTATGAAAAGGCAAACAATACTTAGTCTGAATGCAATTTAATGTTGCAAAGTATTACATGCTTTCCACAAACATTTAGTATACAGACTTCAGTGGAGACTGAAAAAAAAAAAAACCCCAACACCACTCCTTACATACAATTTATTGAGTTTTTAGTGACTGTGAATTGAGCAAGTATTTGTCATCACTGAGAGCTAAACATCCTTTCTTAAATAATCTAAAGTTTAACATTCAAGGAATGACAGATCACATGTCAATATAGAGAATCTACATTAAGCTCAACACTTTATTGTATCCCACTAATTAAACTAAAATACTAATTGAGCCTAAAGACTAGGAACCCACTCACTTCCTGCCAGCAAGGGAAGAAAGCATTCTGAGGCTTTAAAACCTGAGGGTGCATACACATCACTTCATACTCCAACATATTACGGCTACTTGTGTGCACGTCTATTCATCTGTATGATCAGGGCAGTGCACAGACCCCTCAGTATGCCAATCACATACTTCTTTGGGTACTAATGTTATCGTGAACTGGAACCTTACACCAAAGTGCAATCTGTAAAGCTGTGAATCCAGTAAAAACTGCACTTTTTTTTCCTTTTTTGAAATAAGAGTAGCTTTTGTCAGAACATGTAAGTTAACACTAATTTAATGTAAGGTGCAGTAGCTACATCTAAAAGTGGTGGGCTGCTGTTACAGTGGAATACTCACAACCAGTTCTACAGTGGAGCTTTGAGTATCAGATAGTGATCTTTGTTCACACAATCTCCCATGAAGAGTACAAAGACTAGAGGCTAGTTAATAACAATATAGGAGATTACTCTTGGCATTTATTCACCTCTGCAATACCTGAATGCACTACTAATTTTTTTAATTATAAAATTACTTCTTTGTGAGCAGTCAGACTCTGCAGAGCAGAAGACAGCAGTTGACAGTAGGCTGATTAGAGCTCTTTGAGTCAGAGGTTGCTTTCAAACAAAATATTAAGTAGGAAGGCTCCAGTCATTTTGAATAATACATTATATGTGCAGTTACTAATTTCCCAAGCAATACTGAAAATAACTTATTTATCATAACATAATAATTTAGCAAACAATATAAAAAAATCATACTCAACGTAGGGCCATGTCAGGCATCAGCAAAGTTAGCTGAGTTCCAGTCAGCAAGCCTATCTGTATAAGGATCTAATCACATGAATTTTAATACCTGAGAAATGTTTGAAACTGAGCATTTCATAATTAGGGAGAGAGGAAGCAAAAGGGAAAAGCAGCTGTTTCAAAGAGTAACAAACATTACTGTATTAATTTTTACAAAAAAGTGTCATACAAAAACTGTATGACTGTGTGTTCAAAAAACACATTTCTCTCAGACAACTCTACTACCAAGAGGTATAAATCTGCATTGTTCCACAGGACAGATTTTGCTGCTTTTAAGCTATGTCAGTCAGTCTGACAGTAGGCTACTTACCTGCTTTGAAGTTCTCGAGAAGACAGTCATATCTCCCACTAACAACTTTGCTTTAAGTGTAACAGCATACACCTTAGCTCTTCTTTTCTAAGCATAAGTTTGAATACAAAAGTTATCTGAAAAGTTTTACAATGCTTGAAAGTTAATTCACCCCAAAGTTCTTGTGAAAAGACACTTTCCTAAAGATGATAGTGTACAGAGTACATTTTCACATTGATAAAAAACAAGTACAACATGAGACGTCCTAGCAAAGTACAGAGGAAATGGTATTTCCTTGTCTAATATTCAAAAGGGAAATATCACTTAATTTAAAAAAGTGCACATCCAAAGCCTTAACCCATTTTCTGATATTAGATGGAATGTAAGCAGACACTATTTTCTCCAAGACTGCAGCTATTAGCAGCTACAATTGTTAATATCTGAAAACATGCCTGCACTTTGCATCATTTTTTTAAGCAGACCTAGCATAAATTGCCTGCAAGAACCATAGCCATTCCTGAACCTCAATCTCAAAGTATAAGCTTAAAACTAAATGGATCTAGACATCCCTTATATTTACAAAACAGGCTGAAAAATAGAAAATTTCAATCTACTATTCTTTTGTAAGAACGCAAGACTCAGTGTTGCATTTCATTGCTCAATGAAATCTAAGTCTTCAGCTTGGTTTTTAAGCAGTTATCTACTTTTTTTCCCAAGTATAACTAGCAGAGCACTGGACTATTGTTCATGTCACTTTGCAATGCATCAGTGAGAAGTTAACTCTGAAATTAGACGTATGGCTAGGCACCTACAAGTTTTTATAGTTTAATCACACTGATTTGAGCTCTTGCTGAAAGTTAATGTTCACACTTCTGTGTGAGCTTCAATGCCAAATTCAAGACCAAATATGTCCGCAGAGGTAGAGAGGGATTTCTGTGACATTTCTGTAAGAGGGAAATATCCAGCATACAAATGTCCACAGGCCAGTGGAGACAGGGGAAGATTCAAAAGCCTTGGAACTCACGTTTAGGTTCTGGGACTGAATCTTCTGTCAGCTATTCCCACATTGACACTGCCTCACTGCATTGATCCCGCTACCCAGTGGCAAACACTTTCCGCTGGTCTCCTGTTGTACTTGGGGAAGCGACCACGTACCCCCTGACGCCCGGTCACGCACAGCCGATTCCCGCTGTTAGGCGCCAGGTTGGGAGGAGCACGGGCTTCGAGCACGCTCTTGTGGCCATGTACAACCACATCAAAAATCAGAGCTGAGAAGGACACGGGATGGCCTGTAGGCACCTTGGACTGGTTTCTTTGACAAAGGCAGCCTTAAGCCAGAAGTTACAAAATAAGTCAGTCAAGCACCAGAGGTGACCTACTGCAGAAACATCATTCCTTGACCCTGGTATTTGGAAAGAGCTTTTATCAAGAGAACGCTACATTGAAAACACAGTGCAAAACAGAGCCAACCAGAAAAGCTAGTGGTTACTTCAGTGTTCAAGAGCCTCCACCTTCATGCTTCCTCTCTCCTCTCCAGGAAGAGGAAAGAACACACTTGCCTCCTCTTTTTATGACACCTGAAGCGCTACGTATCTTAGGAAGAAGATAAATACAACCATATTTATTTATCATTATTTGAATACTGTCTGTGCTGGAATGTAAGTTGAAACTCCATCGCCATTCCACGGACAACTTCATGTGATCTTCACAGGTGATTTCTTGTGTGCGCAGAGGAGGGTGACGTAGGGAACCCCAATGAATGCCCATCTTTCACTGGGCCAGAACTTTATGACAGGGCCCTGCTCAGGGATCTCAGAGGCAGCATCGAAGTAAGCAAAGCAGACGCAGCCCAAGTATGCCGCAAGGCAAATCAAAATGTGCCTGAGAATAGACACCCGTCACCGTCCCCCCAAAAAAGAAAAAAAAAAAAAAAAATCAGTAACATGACTTCAGTAGAGCAATCAAGTATATCACCATGCTTTAAAATCAGTCTGCCCTTCACCTTCTTCCCCTGAGTCCCCCATAGTGTTGCTGTCTGCCCTCCGCATGCAGGCAAAGAATACAGAGAACAAGGAAAACTACAAAACTGTAGCTTATCCTTTGTCTAAACTGGCGGCAGTTTTTTGGCCTCTCTGCACATGATTTGTGTAGAAATGCTGAAATACGGCACCTTGAATAAAAGAGCACAATTTACTAGGTAGTAAAAGACAAAAGGCATCAAAGCCCTTCACTGCTCCTCCACTTCACCCTCGGTTGTTAACAGTGCAAGTTTAAGCTTTCACAGTCACTGCTTCAGCTGAGCAGTGTTGTGGGATTTTTAGTAACCAGTAGGGCAAGGAATTCAGCTACAGTTAATGAACTTAGTGTCTGAAGAATCTGATCAGGCCAAAGAGACTCCTAAATCTGCCACCTTGGATAGCGTGAGACTTGCTCTGGGCTTATAATCTTACCAGTAATTCTCTCTCGCACTAACCAGAAATAGCCACGAGACAGGACAGAAGGGTAATGTGGTGCGGATGTATCACATTTGAGTCAAACTGTGGAGTTTATACACAACACTTACCATACACAGTGCAAATAGGGGAAGTTAAACGAGGACCAGATCTCACAAAACACTTTGTCGCTGATCCAGCAGAAAAGTGCTAGCATCCACCAAAGACCTGAAAAGAGACCCAGTTTGTATACACGCAGGTTTTCACACCTGAGGAGAAAAATACAAAGAAGTTGTTATAAAACAAAACAAAACTTGCTTTGTAATGGCAGCTTGATGCTTTTTGGTTCTGTGTATTTTAGGGCAGGATTCACAGTGCCAGGCACACATCTTTAAAATGGCTCTACCATAAACGTCCTTAACAGAAGACCTTTACTCACAGTAAATATGGCTCTGATGCAAGGCAGTGGTGAGGTGATAAAACAAACCTTTTAATCAGTAGCTATGTTTTGGCTATAGTCTTAAATACCAATGTGCAAATGGTGGGCAAACATCACAGCATTCCCATATCTAAGGAGGGGTATCTAGGACAACTAGTGATTAGTTACACACCCTGTCTGGTAACAACCAGCCACACAGCAAGTGCTCAGATTTGTTCATATTTGTCACTATACAGAGACTGGTAAAAAAAGGAATTTGATGAGGTTTTTTTTTTTAATTGGTTAGTTGATTTTTCCCCCCCTACAAGTTAGTATTGTACAATGTAATAGTTCCAGAGAACTTCTAAGGTAGAAGCGTCTACCCAGAGGGCCCAAAGAAGCATGCTTTAGTAGATGTTGCAGGCATCCACATCTCAGACAGAATTCCTCACGCTGACTAAGCTGCAGTTCTCTCCCTCCACAAGAAATCTGACTTGTTCACACAGAGGTACACCAGAGAGAAAGAGAGCACAAAACATTTGCTGTGGTCACATGCAGTGTGGTCTGCAGTTGTCCATCACTGAATACAACAGCAGATGCCAGGATACTTGCATAGCATTACCTATGTTGCAGGTGTACCCAAAAGCTCACAATTTTATTTCCCTATATGATGCTTTGTTCTTTTCAACATCTTGGAACTATCCTAACCTTGCAGCTTTGCTCAAAAGAGTAATAGCAGGAGAAAGGAGGCATCAATGTAATCTTCAGGTCCCAAAATGCTATTAAAATCACTAATTTGCTGTTTACCTACACTTGCTATTTTGGGCTTAGGTGCCAGTAGATGCAGCTCTGCTGTTATCGGTATCTACAAAGCAAAGCTAGACCAGGACATGACCAGACCTATGTGGCCAAGAGAAGGCATAGCTCAGCTCCCCTGCCTTCTGCAAGAACAAAGCTATGATTTTGGATTTTCGCCTCTGCCTTTTTTTGTTCTTGTTGTTGTTAAACTCTTGGTGAATTTCCCAGGGATCCCAGAACTGTTCAATGCTCTTAGACAATTCTCGCTTCAATGAACGACTCTTCTCAGGTCACTGATATGATCTCCCAAAGCACTCCCAAACCTACTAATCAGATGACAGAATAATTTGTTTAAGGTGACTTGTTTGAGCCACCTCTCAAGAATAAACCAGTAAGCCAGATCTCTAGCCAGTATAACAAGGAATACTCAGCCTTCATCAGGGTTACAGTCCTCTGTCTTCTCCTTCCACACTCTAGAAAGAAAACAAGTCAATGCCAAGCACCCCACAATGCCTTCCTTTGTCCCAGGGTCTTCAAGAGGGGCTCCTCTAGTCCGCACTCATCTTCTCTGTCTTACACCTGTGCCAAAAAGTTATTGGGAATGTCTCCACGCCTCTTCCTCTCCACCTCACTATCCAACCTTTCTCTCTGCTCCAATCCACTCATCGCAGTAGACTTGACACTGAATCACTGGTCTTCTTCCACACAATTCTTGGGCTCATTCACTGCATCTGGAAGGTGAGCAATGCCTGGGAAACAGGTCCTTTAAAGGGACACTTCTCCTTGTGACACACATTTTAATTGCTTCCGAGTATCCCTGGCAGAGGGAGCTAGAGTAGGCAAATACATCTTCACTGTGTGCACTGCAGTAGTATTAATGGTCTCTGATCTTCATTATACATGACTGTCCTTGACAGCTGACTAACACAGTGCAGCACAGACCAAAAAGCTCTTTGGTCCTTCTTTCTTCCACATAAAATACTTGTCAGCCTGAAACCTGTTGTTCTCATTTGATACATTTACAGAGTTCTAATTTTTCCAGCATTTACCACTAATTGTCTTCATGGCCACACACAGCCTACAAGCCACAGGCTACCCTGCATTCACTGTCAGGAAAGTAGTAGTGCTAGCTCTGTCCCCAAGCTAAAATTTATCACTACACCCTCCTGCATGTGTGAGATGATCTACAATGACTCAGTTGGAGGAGGACAAGGGCAGAGAATGACTCCTTCTTCTCTGTGGTGGAAAAGCAGAACTGCCAGTGGTACTAGAGCTTTGCTAAGGGAGCCTTGCTAAGCATTCACAAAAATTAAAAACATACACAGAGTGCTCTGTCCAGGAATACTTTTCTGAATGTATTGCAGGAGCAGCAGTATACCTGCCTCTGGTGTACCGCAAGCTGAAAAATTAGTACAGTTTAACCTGTAGGATTTTTTTTTTTCCACTCTTGAAATGCTCTTTCAGTTGACATTTTAACAGGCGTTTGGGGTTAAGAAACTCCTAAGGCTGAGCAAAAGGCACATTTATAGCTACTGGATTAATGACAGAAAAGCTACTAACTGCCTAATCTTGTTGACAGAGGATTTGCTCCAGTGTCCTTTGCTGAAGTTGGTTTTAGGATCTGGCATTTCTTTTTTAAGCCATGTCTAAATAAAGTCACTTTCAAAATCATCACACCTATCTTTATTATTCAAAAAAGTGCTTCAACTACCAGCTAAACTGTAATCTCCTCCACAAGAAAGACATCACAATAGTTGTTTTCATAACAAAAACACCTACATGACTGCCACAAAAATTAATACTTCAGATAGCATATAAACCACTTTTGGTTTATATGCTTTTTTCTTAGGCCTGAATCCTCCAAGGCATTTGGCAAACCACCAAGACACAGTCAGAGGAGACACGGGGCTTGTGCAAGATGGCTTCAAGACTGTCTGTGTTGCATAGCGTAAAAGAGGCTTGTTTCTCTGAAATAGTGTCTTTATATTTAAAAAGGCTACAAGGAATACAAAAAAAAAGAAAAGGTAAGGAGATTTTTGAGTTGCCTATCAAGTTCCAGAGTCCAGCTACATGAATTCTTCCTTACA